AAGTGATTAGGATTAAGTCCTTTTTCTTCACAGAACTTATAAACTAAATCTTCAAAAAAGGGTTTAGTAGACAAAAGGCTATCATGCCACCTTCTTCTAATTCAAGCAAAACGGATTTCCGAAGTGCTAATAATAGTTTGGAGAAAAGTCCAGCCTTTCGTATCGGATTTACCTCTCTTCCGAGCCGTGAAGTAAATATGGAAGAGGGCAGGGTAATTATAAATCTCTGGTCAGTTAATATATTTATTAGTCATTGTCTTTTATATTTCGTTGTTTAATAAAAAGCCAAAAGCCTTCGGTCATTGTCTTTTTATTTTTCTTTGTTTCCACTATATTCGGGTTCATCCTCTTCCTCGGGTTGCCTTTCTTTTTGTTTCTGCTTCTGTTTTTGTTTGTCCTTATTTTTTTGCTCTTCGGGTTCTAATTCTTCTTGTTTTTCATCCTCTTTTTGGACTTCGGGTTCGGGTTCTTGTTCCTCTTCTGGCTCTATTTCGGGAGCTGGTTCTGGTTCAGGTTCTAAATCTTTATCTAAATTATCCAATCCATTAGTTTCATTTTCATTTTCTAAATCTGGTAATATTTCATCTGGTTCATCAATTTCTACCCCCGAACCAATGGCATCAGGGTTGCCGATTTTTTCGGTAATTTCTACTCGGCCAGTAATATCTAAACTTCAATCGGCTCCATCTTGGGTCAGTTTAACCGTAATATTATTATCTACTCCCCGGAAATTCTTTTCATCTTTTTCTCCCGAACTAAAAGCATGCATATACCATTCATACATTACATTTTTGGGCAAATTAACTGTGCCGTTTCATTGAGCATAACCATCAAATTTCCAAGCATTCGTGTCATCTTTTTTTATTTTGTGTCTTCCCTGGTTAATTAATTTAGGAAATAAATCAGTCCCTCCCTCCACTGGTCTTAAATAACTGTCTTTTCAAACTCAACTCATATTATCCACATGAACCTGATTATCCCGACCGACAGCACTTTTATGATTAACTTGGATAGTAGTATTAATTAGCACAGGGTCTTTATTTAAAATCTTCCTTTGGTAATTGCCACTCTCTCCCTTTGCTAAAAAGTATTCTTCGGGAGTTTCTTCATATAAATATACTCCCTTGCTAAATATCCCAGCAAAAAAGCCCTCTCGGTCTCCTTCAAAAATATTAGGCACTATTTTCCAGTAGCCTTTTTTAAAAATATTACCAATTTTAGGAGTGTTAAAAACTTGATTACCACTTTTTTTTAAAGCACTTTTGGTAATTTGATACCGATTACATAGATTTTTATTAAACTCAATTCTAATTCAAAAATTAATACTGTCAAACCGTAAAGCAATTTCTCCTAAGGAATAATTGCCGTGAGTATGGGAAGCATCTAAAAGGGAAGGAATGGAACCAATTACACTTTGCATAATGCTACTAGTAGCCGAAGCCAAAGTTTTTTTTCTTTCTCCTTGCCGTTCATCTTTACTTTTTTCACTCTTGCCACTGTGTAAATATTTTTTGGTCTCTTCTCCGGTATCTTTTACAGCATCTTTGGCTCCGGCCTCAGTCCCGGCAAAATATTTACAAAAACCATCTACTATTTTAGCCCCGGCATTTAGAACCATACTGGATAGTTTATCAGCCTCCAAAGTAAAGTTTAAATCTTCACTATATCTAAATAATACTTTTTTGCTTTCAAACCGATACATAATCCCAGCTGGATTAGCCCGAACTGACACTTTAAAATTGTCTAAATCCATTTCATCTAAATTGCTTTCGTGGATTTTTTTACTATTTCAAAAATAATTAACATGGACATGCTTTAATAAGTGTTCGTATTCTCCTCCCTCTCCTTGGTGGTTCATTCTCTCCATTCGGGCATTTTTAACTCACTCGGCTAAACCATTAAATTTAATTTTCTCGGTTTTCATATCAGTCATAACTCCTATCCGATATCAGTAAGGCAACAAAAAATAGGTAGTAGTATAAAGTCCTTGGTATTCAGTGCTACCTACCTCTTCTAAATCCATGGTGTGAAAAGTCCGATATCTTTTAGTTTGTCCGTAAGGTTTGTTTACTAATTCACACCCATACATTCCTCCTAACCAGTTTTTTAATTTAAATAATTTGTATTCTGGTTGCCAATCACTTTCAAATTCTACATATTCAGTAGATTCTAAAAAGGCTGGGCATTGGCAAATTTCATCTTTGTTTCCAAATTTAGGAGAATTATGGATTATTCCGTTGGCTCCTTGGCTAAAAAATTGAGGGTAATGGTGAATAAAAAAACTTCTTTGGACTGTAATAATAGCATTTTCGTGGTTTATTCTTTCTCAGCTTATTACTTCATATCAAATATTATTCCGATAAAATAAAAAATCTTTTAAATTATCAAAAATACCTCGGGGAGGCTGATAACAAAATTTTAAATGCTGGTCATTATTTTCTAAAATGAAACAAATATTTTTTCTATCTAATAAAATATTTTTCTGTTCTTCCCATTCTTTTAATAATTCTTCTACTTCTTCACTATCATTTAAATAAGTAGCATTTAGCCTTCGGAATTGGCTAACTGTTTTTTTAGTTAATCCTAATTTTAAGTTTTTAATAAATTGGATTTTTTCCCTTTCGGATTGCTTTAATAAATAGTTTTCTACCTCTTCTTTTTTAAGAGGGGGTTGCCCTCCATTTAATTCTTCTCACTCTTCTAATAAGTATATTTCTCGGTAAGGTTCGGGTGCTTCGGTTCCTTCCAAAATTAATTCATCTCCGGTCGGTTCTCAAATTTCAATTTTAACAATTTTGCCTCACTTTTGCTCTCACTCTTTAAACTTCTCAAAATTAGTTTCTTTTAGATAAGGTTGTAAGTCTTCGGGCTTATATCACCTTTCGGTCGGGTTTTCGGCTACAAAATTACATTCAATTTGAAACCAACTTTGGATTTGTTCTATTAGTTGCTGAACTCGGACTTGCTTTTCTTGCTCGGTGGCTAGTATTTCAGGGGTAAAAATTATAAAAGAGTTTTCTGAGGCTGTAATTTGGGACTGAATAAGTGCTTTAATTTCTTGGTAGATTTCATTTATTCGGGCTTGGGCTTGGGTTCTTTCGGTTTCGGGTCTTTCTTCGTCTTTTTGCTCTTGAATGGCTGCTTTAAATTCGGTAATTATTTCGGCAAATCTTTTAGGGAGAGGAATAAAATCTGCTGAGCCATTATTTTTAGGGAATTTATAAGGATTATTAGTAAGGTGATAAATCTTATCTTTTCAGAGTTCGGTTCTAGTATGGATTTCTTTGGGAGTTATTAAATTAGGGAGAATAATTGACATTTTGGTTTAATTTTAGTTGGTGGAGTGTTTCGGAAGGGGTAAAAATAGAGGGAAAATATAAAGAGATTTTAAATAAAATAGAATTATTATGGTAATGGTTAAGTGTGGATATTGTAAGAAGGAATATCAAAAGAGTTCAAAAGAAAAAATGAGAAGTCCCATTATTGGTTATCTTTGCTCTGATTGTCGAAAAATTAATCCATGTGGTAATCCTTTTTGTCCTCCTGGGAGCACTCATTTTCATTAATAAGTTATTCATATTTGTTTTCTTCTTTTCCTTGGATTTTTCTTAATTGTTTAAATCTGTCTTTCACTTTTTTAACATACCCTTTACTGACTAATTTATTATAAAACTCACCATTTTTATTTCTGTGAATAGCATCGTGTCCTCATCCATCACTATAAACTTCACTAAAAGGCTGATAATTAGGATGACGATGGACTGCTGGGTCAGCATGAGCCGTTTCATGGGGAACAGTAGGGAAATAACCATCTCCATCAAAATAATAACTTCCTTCCTCTTGTAAAGCTCATTTAGCAATACGAATCTTAGTAGGTCGAGGGCAAGGACAGCAAGGAGTTCCTCAATTGCCAGTATAATTAGGATAAATTGGATATTGGTGGGGTTTAATTTCCACTATTTCACCTTTCATATTAACATAATAAATAAATCCATCTCTTTTGCTTCCTTTTTCAATCAATTTCTTTTCATGTCTGTTTATAAACAAACTAGCTTCGGTGAAATTATTCTCATGGTATTCAGTTTCTCCTCAATCTCCATCACAATTACTACTACAATCAACCACATAATTATATCTGCTCTTGGGTAAACATTTATCAACCATTTCTTTGGTTAATTTCTCCTGCTCTTTCATTCAGTAATTTAAGTTTAAGGCTGGGTTATCTCCTCGGCTATAACTCTCTTTAAAATCTTTATTCTCTTCTAATAATACTTGTTCTCTTGTTTCTTCATAGCCACAAGCAGAACAGGTTCAATAATCACTGCTTTGACTTCTTTCATTACATTTAGGGCATTTAATTATTTGGCTCATTATTAATTATTAAAAATATTTTTCGTGTGTGTATAAAGTAGGCAGACCGTAGGCTGT